CATGTTGGGGTCTTTATGTGTTGTATTACCCTATTGGGGTTTTATGTGTTGTTTGCTAGTAGTTTTTTTGTGTTTTTCGTTTATTACCCTGTTGGGGTCGGCTCTAGGCGGTCTTCTGACGTGTCCTCTCTTTTTTTAGTCGTTGGTTGTTTCTATTCAGCTGTTAGCTGCATTGTATTCAGCCGGTGGCTGTTTTTTGCACATTTGTGCTAGTTATAAAATAGTTCTATCGTTGACAATTGGAATCGGTAACTCTAGAAACAACATATAACTCATTGTGAATAAAAAATACTATATGTTTTTTTTTAAAAAAAACAAACAAAGTATAATTAAATTAAAAAAAACATTTGAGATATTCAACGAATTTTTTTTTTTTTCACATTAATGAGATTTCGTGAAACTTCTTCATTCATGAATAATAAAGACATTATTGTTGTTATGTAGGTAAATTGATATAAAACAATTGAAATAAACATGTAGAAATATGATCTAATTAAAATTAAAAATTAAAAATTAAATTCTTAAAAACAGAAAATGAAAATGACTCAATTTTGAACTGCATTCATTTGGTTTCAAATTAGGTCTACATATTTTTCTCTCTTTTTTTTTTTAATTATCTAAATTAATGTTAGTAATTATTATTTATTTATTTATTTATTTATTTTGCAAATTAAGTCTGATGTTGATTAAACTGACATGCAAGATGGATCACCTTTTTTAAACTTACAAATAGGTACAGTAGTCGTTAATGTTCATATCAATACCAAATTTATTTATTTTTTGAGTGCAGTTCATTTGAAATAAAATTTAATATAATTTTTGGAAGTGAACCTTGATAGAAGTTTCGTAAAATATTAAAATAAATACATTTAAATAACATTATATAAATTATAAAATTGTATATTATTTTAATAAACTAACATTTATGATATATGATAAAAAAAGTAGTTGATGCATTATAGTAACCTTATTGAACTTTATTGCAACAATTTAGTAGCGATATTATACTTACATCATTCTCTTAACGAAATATGTGTTATAATATCAAAAAATTAACATTAATTAATACATTATGCCATTTTTATTCGTCAAAATTTATAGTTGCATAATTGAAAATAAATTAATTAATTAAAATAAGGGCAATCACTTTAGTCACAACCATTTAAATGACCTCAGTTTTCGGTCTCAATAAACAAATGATATCGACTAAAAATAAATAAAAAAAAAATATATTCATTTTTGGCTCAAACAATTCAATCAGATATAACTAAAATCCATATAAAAGGTCTCATATATTACAAAAAATAAACTAAATAATAGGATAATAATATATATTGAAGTATTCATTCTTCCGAGTCAAAACTATATAGTCACTATTTCTCTCTCATATTTTATGGTTGAGACTTGAGACTATCACACTCTTTCTATTACCATTTCCTTTTTTTTTGGTTATATTACAATATAACTCCACAGTATTAGTTCATTTCTTACCCATAAATGAAACTAAATTCCAATGACTAATTTTTATTGTGTATACAAATTATGTCAATATATGTCCATCTAAAAGTTGAAAAATAAAAGTACAAATTTCTATATATGTCAAATTATATTTTTTACTACATAATTTCATGATGATATTTTTTTCTGTATATTTTAAGTCATATTAAGGTAACGATCAAGATGATAATTGTTAATGTATCGATCAATAGCCAACACTTATTTTGCATTGAATTTGTGATAATCATAGTTTAACTTATTTTGTTAGAAATACACATTGAGAGAATTCTTGTTAAACAATAAGAATAAAATATTTAGATTGTAATATATAGCTCTAAAATAATATATAAAAAAAAAAAAACTAACACATGTGATATACGATAAAAATAAATAAAATAGTTGTCGCATTTGTAATATGTCGTACAAACTTTAGTTGTCGTAATATTTTGATAAAAGCATTATATTCCTGTAATTCTTATAAATACAAAAATTAAACCGTTATGCCCTTTTTTAGAATTTATAGTTGTATAATTACAGACCAATAAAAAATTTAAAATAATAGAAAAATGTATGAACATGTATAGATGACCTCTTCAAAATTTTGACAAAAAATAATAAATTATACTAACTAAAAATAAATAAAGTAAACATTTTCAGGGCAATTAACACCTTCAATCAAACCAAATTCAATGTAAGTTTCTCTTTAGTCTTTATAGTTAAAGACAATAATTATACCTCTTTGAAATCTTATCAGTTATGAAATTTCATGTATTTTAACACATAAATAAAATCAAGTTTTGATGTCATGTTCAAATTATAAATTTTGTTATTTTTTTCTTATGTTTTATTTGTTCATATTCATGGTTGATATTTGTAAAAGAAACTTAAATTAATATGTTTTTTTTTTTCATTTAAGGTTTATTTTGTATTTTCGATATATATTTTACATGGACATGCAGGTTTGTCCTTAATACATAGAGATGATGTTTAAAACTTTTCTTTTTTTTAGAATAAAATACTTTATTTATGACCGATATAACTTCTCTCTATTTATTTTTTATTTCAAAATAATTTATTAGAAAATAAAATATAAATAAACAAATATAAAATTCAGTTGTGTAAATTTTTTGTTATTAACCATGTGAATGAATTTTGTATCAAAATTTAGATATTTAAAAAGTATCACCAATAATGAACATGTTATTTTTATCAAGTGGTAAGTTATTGATACTTTTTTATTATAATTAAAATAGATAATCACCTTAAGGTATAGTTTTGTATATTATTTTCACTTTATATATGATTATAAAAATAACATAATATATTTGAATTATTACACATATACTATCTATAATGATAGTTTTGTTTTTTTAATTAAGTCTTTGTACACATAATTAGTTTTTCTTTGTTTGAATTATCCACGTAGGATTTAACAAAATTATTTCAAAGTCATGAGTATTAGCATGCAAGTCCTAATGAACAGTTAAGTATAAACTTAATTATTTACTTGAACAAACCATTATACAATTTTTTTAATGATACATCATACTTTGAAATGCTCAAAATTTATTTCTAGATGATAAATGTAGTTTTGCAGGATTTTTTTTTCCAAACAACTTAACTTTTATGTGTAAATAAATATGAGTATGTGTGTGTGTTAATATTATGACATGTGCAATGCACATTTTTCGACATTGTTAAAAATAATCAATTTTCTCGTATCCAAAATAATTATGTTACTCAAAGTGGATGGTTTTAAAAATTTAATGGATTAATCAATTGAAGACAATTAATAAAAAAAATTTGACATTAATCATTATTAATTTTTGTTTGATCACATTATTAGTTGTATTGAGATGTGTAGCATTAGCACAACATTCTAAACAATTGTCAATTTATTTAGCATTCCCAATAAATTATTTTATTATAAACAATTTCAATAGGACTTCAAAGTTTTGGACAATGTTTATGGAACTAATCAAAATATTAATGAGTAACATTTAATATAAAATGAGAGGGAAAACAAATTTTTTTCCAGCTGCTTCAATTTAATATATATATATAGATTAATTAATTAATTAGACGGCGCTAACAATGATGACGACGTAGATTAATTAAGGATTTTCTTAGGCTTAATTTGTACAACCTGTAACAGAAGAAATAGTTTGTTGATTTATCATGCTTCCAGAATATACCAAATCTAAACACTTATTATCTGAAATCTTTTAGTAATTATTTAACACAAATTGTTGTGTAGAGCTGCGTAGAATTAAGTGGATCGATCAATTATATATAATTCTTTTAAAAATAAATGTATAATTATGTAATGAAATGTCGTAATTTTATTTATTTTGTTTAATCAAGTATTGACATTTTCTTGAAAATGTGACGTAAGTATAACTATTAGGCATCACTATTAATATTTCCAAATATTTGAAATAAAATAATAAAATGTTGCAAGGCCCACAACGTGCAACTTAGTAATAGCCTATTCTGCTCTGAATTGTCTCCACGATTGGTAGTAAAAATTCCCATAATATTTAATTATTTAAGGTTCAGTAAAAAAAAAAAAAAAAATTAATCTTGGAGTTTGGTTTAGTTACAAAAGTAAAAATCACTCATTTTCTATTTACGAATTATTTTGAAATAGTTACCTCTCCCAATGTCTTTTAATTCTTTTGAGGATATACTTTGGTTATTATATTATTTTATTTTTATTTTTATTTTTTTAAATTCAAAACACAACCGGTTGGTATCTTATAAATCTAGGTGCTTAGTGTTTTTGGTTTAAAGATAAGAATTATGTGAAATTAGTCCAACCACTTATAAAATCTTGGATGCATTATACAATTATTAAACGAGAAATGCTATGGTCCTTTTACAAAATCATCCCGTAAGGTTTTAACCGTTAGATCATTTATCTTATACTACTAAATACATGTGTATCTGATAGTTAAAACTCTCGAAGGAATGATTTCGTAACGGAACCGTAGCATTTTTATTAAACATCAATCTTTTCCAATTATAATGTCCTTTTGGTCCAATTAGAATGTCTTCATCTTCATTTTAATTATGCTGAATATATATATATAAAAAAAACTAAATTAAAATGTATTGAGCTCTCAATTTTTATTCATTCAATTGATCTTTCAAGTTCCCAAATAGGCTACTTTTTCACCCAATCATCTGATTGAAGATAGGTTGC